ATATATATATATTGCGGTCTCCATAAAAGATGTTGCGGTCCTATTGAATTTTTCATGTGAAGTGAAGATAAAATATTCTAATATAAAAATAGTAATAATTAATGATCTGCAATTTTTTACATTGAAGGCACCAAAGTGATAAATTGTTTTAAAATAAACAGTTAATCACTTACATATTGTCAGTGTAAAGTTTTTTTACACTCACAACCAATCATATCTTTTAACAGTGTTATGTCACGTGCTTATTTAATAAACTAAAAATAAAATAATTTAAAAAATATGATTGATTGTCAATGTAAAAAACTTTACACTGGCAGTATATGGATGATTAACTCAACTAATTTTAGTAATTTGTTTGTAAATGACATTAATTTTGTCAATAAATTGTATAAAATTCAATGTTAATTATATATGTAATCTACTGTGGGATGATAATGTAAAATGGTTGACTGTTTCCAAAATACAATTGTTATTATGACGAAAAACAAAATATACAATTGGTTACTTGTATAACTAAAGAGAATTGCTACATCCTCCACACTCCGAAACAAAATATACAGTGCAGCGGACCATGAATGTGGAAAAATAGTAAATTTTAATTGAGTGGGAGTTATTTGGGTCTAACAATTTTGGAGAGTTATCATTTCTCATAACTAAATTTGTGGGTGTTGTGTATTCAGTCGAGTGTCTACGTCAAAGGAGAAAAATCATGGAATCCAACTCAGTAATAGTTGGAAAGAATCTTTGAGTTTGAATTTAATTTAAAAATTTTGTCCTTGGAATCAGTTAATGTCACATCACTTGTGCAAGCATAGACATGATAGAATTTGTTTTACTTTTCGGCTAGGGTCACTTTCCATGTTAGCAATTGCAACACTTTTGTTTTTGGTGTTCCAATTTGCATGTACATCATAGGTACCTCAACATTTCAGGGAATTGAATTTGACACTTGCCCAATTGGTGGGTATAGCTACCACACCATGACGGGAATTAGTTGTTTTATTAAGAAGAAAAACGTGTTTGGACTCTTCCTAGCAAATGCCACTAGCAGTCTGCAATTTTTTATATAAATGTAATGAACAAATTTGATTTCAAAATGATAACATTATTCATTATATACAAATTGAATTTGCAACTTGGACTTTATTTTCTAACCTTGGAATTCCAATGATGCTTACTGCTGCGGCTTCTCCGTATATACCTTTACGCTGGAAGTGCTCACTTTACAATGAAATCAAAAAAAGATTTTATTAAATAAAAAACGGAATATACTATTCTTATCTAAAATATATTATTCGTTAGAAGCTGATAATTTAAATAAATTTTGTAATGATAAGATAGTTATTTTAGAATATAAAATACTTGTTCTATCGAGTACACTAGAGAAAGAAAATTGAGATTAAATAATGACATGAAATTAAATGAACTTCTTCTATCATGTTTTATTTCTAATTTTACAAATTAAACACGAACAACTTTTCCTTCTGCTCCGTTTCTCTCCAATTCACTCTATAAAACTTTTGGACATTTCTGTTTATATATGAATTAATATAACTATTACACCCCCAAATGTTAAATTTTTTAAAGAGAGGATGCGTGTGAAGGAAAATTTTTATATCATTTTTTTTTACTTGGTTTTAGTTTAGTAAAAAAGTTAACGAAATTAAGTATACTCAAAAAAAAAAAAATATATATATATATATATATTGGATTAAACACACTATCGATTTATTCACTAAAAATGTGTTTTTCTCATTCCCGTAACATTTTTAACCCCACAATCATTTGAGTATAAGATTAATTATATTCAAACTTTTAATGGAGTGACCCCTCACCATAAAAAATATTTGCATCATGTTATATGTCTGAATAAATTTTTCATTCATTAAGCTAAAATAATAAAATAGACATTTTTTTAATTGAAATTAATTAATACATTTGGAAAATATGAATGAACACGTGTACAGGTACTGTAAAATTAATTAATGTATAAATAAACTAATTTGTATATCGGACTTGTTTATGGCTTTGCAAAGGTTTAGTATATATCTTGTGACAAATATGGATTCACTTGCGCTTAAAAGATTTAAAAAATACGCTTCAAGGTCGAAAGAAACAACTTTTCAATGTCCCATTTTAATATTCCCAAAAAATTTCCAATTAAGCACAGCAAACAACTTGTAACTTATTTTATCTTATCTTGTGCTTGAAAATGAAGTTCTCCATTAGCTGACAAAGTAACATATAAAGTAAGCATGAAGTTTCAGAATCATAGCTCCAAATTACCGTAAATATTCATACAAGCCACTCTCAAGCTCAAGCTCCACCACATAAGATGATCCAACCAATCCAGTCCCAGTTTACAATATTTCCTCATCTTTAACATGAAAATTGGGTGGTAAAAAATTATTCCTTCAATTGCATTCATTGTATATGGGGTGAACTGTACAAAATATTTTATTTTTAATATTTTTTCCACTTTTTACCATAAATAATTATGTATAAAGTGTTTGATGTAAATGCTGTTAGCCACACATATTAACATCAATGTTAACCTTCAAAAAATTGTCTCTCATAAGCTTGTATTATTCTTCTGAGACATTATGATTACTCTGTCTCAATCAATTTCACTTCATATTAGTTTGTGTATTATCCCAGTCAAATTTTAGTTGTTATCTTATTTTCATGTAAATTTTATATGTATTTATAATTCTCTAGTCAAATTCAATTAGAAATTAGTAATGAACTATAGGAATATAAATAATTTTTTTTTAATTTCTAACTGCACTCATCCCACATAAGTGGAGAATACATTTGAAAATAATGGACGTTTCACAAACTGAATGCACATTTCATTCACTTGAATGCACAATTCAAACAACTCACAGGATTCTCTAATTTTCTACAAAAAAAAAATTGGTAAATCCCGTTGCCTACAAGCAAGACATTATTACATCTCATTAGTAAGTCCCACAAATTTAGAAGACAGCAGCTTTTAGTCTCCTTCCCAACTCCTTCCTGCACACAAAAACAACATCAAATAATGTCAGAACAACACAAATCAAATGTTTCATGTGCACGCCACAGTGAAAAGTGGTCAAAATAATTACCTCATCAGTTGCCTGTCAAAGCCTGAAGCAGCTAACATTCCTCTATTCTCTTCGGCCCTTCTCAGGAGATATGGCATAACAGTCTCCACAGGTCCAAATGGCATATACTTGCTAACATGAAACCCTGCATTGCTCAAACCAAAGGAAAGTGCCTCTGACATTCCATGCAGCTGTGCAAATTCAAGCTTGTGATTCACCCTTCCAATCCCCACCTCGTGTGCTTTTGCAGCAGCCAGTCTCCCTGCACATCATCAATTCAAAACCCCTCAGTTAGATTCGTATTCTCATCATAAATAATCACATGAGAAAATGAATACAAACATTTATAATACGTTAACTGTCTTCAGTAGTTATATCTATCATGATTTCTGATTGATCGATAATGTAACAGTTTCTACATTGCAAAAACATTAAACTTAGTGAAACATGAATGTAAGTACCTGATTCAACATTGTGAGTCGCAAGAACAACTCCACCGGGGCCCTTAGCAATCTTCTCAAGCATGAAAGATGAACAGTCATTGAAGCAATTGTGTGTGTCCTGAATGGTGTTGTGGATTGGGGATGAATACCCCAAAGACTCGGCCAATTTTGATTCACTTGACATGTAAGCACCCCTCACTAGTTTGAACCCCATTGAGATTCCCATCTTGTCTGCAGCTTCTGCTGCGAGCATCAACCTCTCCTTGGCATCCTTCAGATAAGTCTGCATGGTGCCAAACACGATGGGGTTCTCAACTCTGTTGTGCACGATGGCAGAGGAATAGGTGAAGTAGTCAATAGCGGGTTGGACAGAAGTGTGTTCTGCATCAACCATCAAAGGCATGTTGGCATTCACACACTTTTGGCAAAGCTCAAGGAATCTCTGATTGGCAAGTTCAAGGTCTCTCTCTTCCTCTGGGGTGAGAGGCTCAGGTCTACTTCTAGTGTGGTACAAAGGGCTTGACTCAGAGAAAATGGGGAAGCAATCTTGCTTCCATGGCAAACTGAAAGAAGGGTCCTTGTGCTGCCACCTAAGCAAGTCACTCATTCTTTCTAGTAAACTCATGGGACATATTGCAGTGATTTTCACGATTACAAAGCTCACCTGTCACATCAAACAAAATTAATTTGGAACCATTAGCAATCATCATCATCACAATAGGCACTCAACACAACAAAAAACCACTCTCCCACATGAAAAAAGAAAGGGATAAAAGCACAAGCAGCCACAGGAATTGCGTGGTCCACTAGTGCGGTAGTACCAAAGGGAAATTGACAAGGAAATCACGATTTCCAGCACTGGGCAAGTTGTTGCAAGCTGGTGTCGGAGAAAAAACAACACTCGACCCTACCCCATTTCCAGCACCGTGCAACCGAGACACCAATGAAATGAAATGACCAATCTTTGGCCCCTCCCTAGCTAGTAACCTCATTTAACAGTAGTCAAATGCTAGCTAGCTCCAAAGCCAAGGTGGGGTCCACGAGCAATGGCGATCCATGATTTCCTCATCCCAACCCCCCATGAAAGATCTCTTCAATCAAAACCAAGCCATGCTTTCTTTTTCTCATTTCAACCACGCCATTACGTGTACTTGTCAGTCACTCCCAGATTCCACCATTCTCTGCCGTCTGTCACATGCAAAAACCCAAGAACAAACAAAAACAACAAAAGAAAAACATGCATTGTTCTCATACACAAGCACACCAAAATTTCATTCCTCCCCAATTCTACACACATTTTCAATAAATCTCGTGTATAGAAAAGGCATAACGAAAATGGTGTGTTTGCTAATTATATACTCGTTAATCTCCACACATCTATGTAACCATTTTTCACCTGATGATGAAGGTGAAAAATGAATGTAACAAATTATGCATGTATCAGGTGAAAAATGAATGTAACAAATTGTTCACCTAATATATACATGTATATATATTAGGGGGAGATGTAACAAGGTGTTTAACATGGCATATAAAAACTATTCCATGTCATGGCAAGATAGAGCGAGATCATAGTCAAGTGATGATTCTAAGGATGAAAGGGGCTTTGGAAGAAGGAAAAGGGATGAAGAAGGGGTTACCGAAGATGGGGGAAGCGATCTGCTGACGTCGACGGTCCGAAGGAAGCCACGGAGGTTGCGGTCGCAGGCCTCGTTATCAAGGGCGTCTTCGACGCCGTAGACAAGCATGCCACGGAGGCCTGTGTGGTTGAGAGCACGGATGCTGGAGGCGGCGGTGGGGGCGTCTTCTCCGGCGCAGAAGTGGTGGTAGAAGGTGTGGCGGATGGAGGCGAGGAAGATGTCGCGGAGGCCGTTGACGTGCATGAGGTTTGAGCGCATGAGCCAGGTGCCAAAGTCAACCAAGGGATCAACGGCGGTGGCGTGGAGGACGGCGGTGGAGCGGAGGAGGGTGGAGGTGGGGACGTGGGAGAAGAGCTTGCGGAGGTCTTGGAAGTTGAGGTCGTCGGCGGCAGGAGGGAGGACGGCGGAGGTGGGCGGTGGGACTTCGGGAGAAGGAGGAGGAGAGAGAGTGGGTAAGAGAGAAGTGTGGGTGGAGTTTAGGGGCTTTGTGGAGGTGTTGTAGCTGACGTTCCTTAGGATTCTTGGAGGGATAACACGAGTGGCCATGTAATGTGTAACAACGTTGTTAAGCAAACGTTGTTGGAGTTTTTTTTTATGTGGTTGGGGTGGGGTGGGGTTGCTTTTCTTCTCCCTTGCTTTCTTTCCTCTCTCTCTCTCTTTCTTCCTGGAACCTAGAAATCGCTGTGAGATGCAAAATGTGAGTTTCTTTGCTTTCCTTCAACCCCCTTTTATATTTGCTTCCATGTCTTTTATTTTTAGCAACCTTCTCTCTCTCTTCTTTCCTTTCCTTTCCCTTCCCTCATAATAGCTCTTGTTTTTCTTAGTCTCAGCGCGTGTTAAGGTAACCAACTGCAACTGGACCCTCAAATTTCAGACACATTCGCCTTACGTGGATACACCTATTCTCCTCCTAATCATGCATCTCATCTCTTCCTTCGCATCACTTTACACGTAGATACGTCGTGTGCGCCAATTTAATTATTTGCGCCAAATATTTTTTTATTATTATTACCCAAAATTTATTAAATTCCATACATTTCCTGCGGCAAACTTTTAGGCTAGTAGAGTGGTGGCAAGCTAGAAACAAAAAACAAGACTATATTTAATAAAATGTATAAAAGAGATACCTCTCTTTAATAATATCATTTTTATGGATTTTTAAGCATTTAATTATATTATTCTAATATTAATTATTTTCTTAATAAATTGTTTTAGGATATTCAATGTATTCTTTATAACTTTATTAATAACACTCTTCATGTCTTTAGAAAATGATAGAAGATTTATCTATAAATATATTACTTTTTTGTGAAAAAATATGCAATTGAGATATTTTACAAAAAAACGTATCAGTCACAAGTATTGTGTGAAAAGTATTAATAATAGGGTGTAAGAAAAGCATTTAATAATATTAAATAAGTCATAAGTATTAATAATTTTAGAATGTAGAAAAATATATCATAAAAGATAATTAATTGATGAAATAATTTATGTGTGAAAAGTATTAATAATATTAAAAATTATTCATAAGTATTTATATTATTAAAAGCAAATACATTATCAAAAGATAATTAATTAATAAAACAATTAATCTGAAACGTATTAATTTTTGTATACAGAACAAAATTGGTACAAAAACTAGGAAAAAGAAGTATTAATTAATTTTGTAAAAAAAAGAAGGAAATTAAAAGTACCATTAATTAATTAATTCCTGAGCATTATAAATTGATGATTAATGAATTATTTACAATTTTGTGTAGTGATCTTTTTTTTATTTATAAATATTTTGTTAGTGATCTATATATACTGCACTCTTTTATTAAACAATACTATCTTGAAATTTTACTTATTTAGCGGTTAAATTTAAATTTAGTCCATCGTTAATTATTAGCTTGCACTTCTTTTTTTAAATTTAACCCATCATTAATTATTAGCATATATTTCTTTTTTTGTAACTTTAGGTAACCCATTTATATATATATTTTAATATCGGACATATTGAGGTAAAATTTAATGACTTTCATGTTTACAGTTTAATTTTCTTACCACTATGTCAACTCTGGTGGGTTCGACAGATATATATTTGAATTGATAAGATCAGGGTACTCCACTTTTTCTTTTTTTTTCCCTCTAATGTATAAAGTTTCCATTCACTAAGTGTAAGTCCTTAGCTTCAATTTGTGCTCTCAAAGAATGGGTACAAAAGATTATTATTTATTAAGGTAATTTTTTTGTCGTGTGCCTACAAAAGCGGAAAACCTACCTATTATAATTTCATGCACTATTTGTAATTTGTGTAATGGAACTATTTAGTATTTAGCAGGTACGAATGCTGATACTTCAACAAGATTTTTGAATTTGACCTATTTTTGTAAATTATAATTTCTGTGCCAACTTACTCAAAGCCACGTTTATTTTTTGAAAAAAACAAAATACTATCAAGTAATCAATTCTCTCTTTTTTTTTCTTTTTTCTTTTTTTAAATCTATAGACAACATTACAATGACAGCGATGAAATTGAGCTAAAGTTTTTATGTATTTACTTAAACTCTCACTACTAAGTTAATTCAAGTGGTTTAATTGATTAAGAGAAATTATTTTTAACCTTAATTTGAGGGGAATTTTTCATTAAATAAAGAAATAACCCATAAAGTGTAATAAATTAAAAACCATAATTTTAAGAGTTCAGATGGATGGTGTTAAAGAAATTAATAATAGCAGCTTATTTAGGAAGAAAATAACTATATAGTTGTAGGTGGTGTGAAGACAATTCACTGCTCGTTCAAATGGTAGGAAAAGTTGTGTACAATTGTTTATTTCCCTCGTGCCTCCGAGTAGCTGTGCACAATTAAAATTAACAGCCTCATGGCTTGCTTTAGTAATATATTAATATTAATATTAATATAAACAAAAAAAATATATCAAATTCAGCCTCTATTTTTCGATCAGGTTAAAATTTGTTTGTGGTTGAAAATGACCATGCAAGTTGGCTTTAGCATTTGGCAACACTACAACCTTCATTCTAGCTTTGGATAAATAAAAAATCATGACATCACATTATTTCACATATTTAATAATGTGAGTTAAAAATGGGAAAAGGATGGTGTTGGCCATAAAAATGGGAAAGTTTCACACCCCCCGTGTTTCTTTTCCATGGTCCCATGGATCCATGCCACTCAACTTTATTTCTTTCTTTACAATAATTGATTTTTGAAGCTTAAACAAATTTTAGTATGTACTATACCACGTAGTTACTTAATTACTTGCCTTTGGTCAGCGTCGTTTATGAGAAAAGTGATACATCAAATGATAAATAGTGCTCAGCCAAAAAAGAATAGGAATCAACACATTTATCAAATGACTAAAAAGCAATCTAAGACCCTTCGTCCTATTGTTTGACATTGCTGAATGCTGAGTTAAAGTTATCTTGTGATGTATGATGATGCTAGTTGATTGGACACTAAGCATAATTCCACAAGGAATGAGTGTGTTATAAAATGTGTTTTGCCTTCAACGCAATAGTAATGTGGTTCTCATCATTCTGTTTCTGTATTTGCCAAATCACTCCCACTCTTATACTTCCTTTTTTAATCTCAATTTTTGTCTGAAGTTTTCTTATTTCCTAAATTAACTTCATCAAATGATGATACACACAATTGCACTTGACTGTCCACAGTAAGAGAATTTTTGTACGGTGAAACTTAGGTCTTGAAAGAAGAAATTTCTTCCTATAAGAGTGTACTCCACTTTTGAATCCATATATTTTCAAAAGGTGTTGAGAACCATTCCCTAGTCCAATGGAGGAAAATTGTATTTTCCCTTCTTTCTCTTGTGTTGTTTGCAAACCATCAATCATTGAATCCATTTCAAAGATATATGGAGTGAAACAGGAATCCACTACACTAAACTAAAGTCACAAACCTTACCCTAGTAGACCACAGATTAAAGGCACTCGTGCAACTAGAAACAAACATTTTTTTTTTTGTGCAAAAGGCCATGTATTACTATTCTCCAACGTTAACAACCAAAATATATCACCAAGTGCTTCTAAGTACAGTGTAAATGCTATCACTCTATATTAGCCAATTGACAGTAATGTTTCCGAGCCATGTAAACAATGGGAACTGAGCCAAAGCAATGAAGAGCAAGAGATAGTGGTGTTTGCTTGAATCATAAGTCCTGACTTCCGCAAAGAGGACTCTCTTCATTGTTTTCACCAAGAACACTGCCATACATAAGCAGGTCCATAGCATTAGAAAGTAGTAGGAGTAACTCCATATCATTCTTCCGGAAACAGCCAAACACAAGCCAGGAAATGTATACCCAGCATACGCTACCATGTCCAATAAAGGTGCTTCCCCACTTCCCAATGAAAGCAAAGTAACTTTAAGCAGTGCTGTTTGCATAAACCAACCAACCAATCCCTTGATAAATAGCCAGTTCAAAGCTTCAGGACTAAACCTGCTCACAACAAATACAGCATGTTTATGAAACTATGACAAACTAGAAAGCATGTAGAGATGGAACAAAAACGAGAACTATAAACCAAACTAAAATCTCAGTGGAACTTGACAATACCCAGCTATAGAATTTCAAAATAACAATCATGATAAGTAAATTAGCAATCTGTATAACAAATAAGAAGATCACTACTTGTCTGACTTCCAATTAAGTTTTATATATTTTAGTTGTAAACAGAAGAAAAAGAGATGATTTCTGGACTTGAATTTAAAAAAAAAAACTCGTTATTAAACCCACACAAAAAGGGAGGTATCATTGTTCAACCCTGTTAATATACAGGACCATTTTTTCATTGCACGAGGTAAATAACCATTTGTATTTGCCTTGGCATGTCCAAACACAAGCACAAATCCCTTTTATAAAATTATTTACCATTTCTTCACAAGCATATAAACTTCAAACCAAAGCACTGTGTTAGGATCCAATTGCAAAGTATAATGGGGAAGTCCGACATTGAAAACATGGGATTTTAGCGTGGGTTAATATGACCTTGGCTCTCCAACTGCAACAACTAACTTTTGTGATAAAATTCTCCCAAGGTTCTCATCAATTGGTAGCAAAGCTTTTCCCCACATCTCTTAGTTGCAAATGAATAGCATGGTTAGTGATGCCAGCTCACATGGACATCAGAGCTGTTGGGCATGGTGGAATGTAGGATTAAGTTGGAAGGCTTGAGAATTGAGTCCCACTTTGAAAGTAAGGGATTCTAGTGTGGGGTTTATAAGGCCTTGGGCTCTCCAACTACAACAACTAACTTTTGTGATGTGTTTCTATCAAGGTTGTTATCACGCTGACAAATTAGAAAGAGAAAAATGACTGTCTATTCCTTTTACCCTTTATGATTCGCCTGATCAAGGACAGTAGCAAATAGTTTGCAACATAGCTATACTAAAAATAGCATTTTCATGATCCTTAAGTCACTTTTACATGGCCATACTCATTAGCATAGTTTTAGCATGAAAAGGAAATTTATTCGGCTACAAATTAGGCAAAGTAGTAATCATGCAGAGAAAGCAGGAAACTCTAGGATGCATCCAATATAAGTAAAATAAAAAAGCATGCTGAAAAATATTATACTTACTTTCCACGGAGACCCAATGAGATGCCAGCAAGAACAACATAGGTACCAAATGCCATTAATGGAATGTACAAGTCAGGAGCATTTATGTCATAAATCGGTGGTTTATAAGAGAGCCTACCTCCCACCGGTTCAGTGATTCTAGTCCAATGACCCTGAACACAAGAAGAAAAAGATAAGGGCAAGCAAGAAGCTACAATAAGATAATGAAATTAAAATTCAATTAGATGAATGTGAAAAAGGGTGACTTTTGCTGCTTACCCGGTGCAGGAATGGGAACAAAACGACCTTTAATTTGTTCTTAACATAGTGGTCATTCACTTGAAAGTAGTATTGGGGATCAGAGAAATACCGGCTTATCTGTTGTTGAAAAGAGAAAATTATTTAAAACGAAAAAATATTGAATTCATACCTAGAGATAATATTAAGCTAAACAAGATACAAAAAGCTATTTAAAATCATCTTTCAGCTGTATGGGTTTTTCCCTCCAAAATCAGAGGAACCAAACTTGATTGATATGTACTAATTATTGAACAGAAACATATGCCATACATGAGAAGACCAAATATTAAAATGCCAAGTTGTATGCCTCAACAGTTTCTGATAATCAACAGACAAGCATTGTTAAAATGATATACCAAACAGCTTAGAAACACAGGATTGAAGAGATAATCTCAGCTTTCAGAATAAGTGGTTTTCCACACACGATTTAAGCAAGAGTAAGACAATGAAACCAAAAAAGAAATTAACAATACCAAAAAAAAAATAGAGAAACAGAAACAGATATAATATTATCAACCATGAATTAGTGAGCATACTAGATTAAGTGCCTAGATTAAGAGAAGAAGGTTGGAATGATACATACATTGCTCTGGACGTACTCAGAGCTTGATCCTAATATTTTTTCACCATATGCCCCCAATCCACCTCGAATGAGTCCTGAACCAGCAGCATTAAATGCATTCCCGAACAGATTAGGTTGCAAGCTTGTTGGAGGTTGAGGATGATGTTGAGGTACCCCTGGTGGCATCCCAACATTATTGTACATTTTTACTGCTACATAAAAAGGCATATAAACAAAATTAGAATTCAGAAATAACTTCTTTTAGGTTATAGGGAGGTCCTATTTGACCCAAGGTTTTAAGAAAACAGTCAACAACCGTGATTTCAGCTGTAACATCAAGGTTTTTGAACTCTGCAATTGTAATAGTAATTGCATCAATCACATTTGTCCGCAATGTCAAGGATTGCAACAAAACCACAACCGCAATTTAAAATCTTAATTAAACCTAAGGAGAGATGGAAAAATGGGAATGTGGGCATTGAACTTAAACCCCACCCCATATACAGAGCTGCCTAAAGAGTACCAAACATTACCACTTGATTCTCTATGGTCTAATCAGAAACAACGTAAATAGGCAGAAATCAACAAAAAAAATAAAATTACAGGTGCATAAAGCTCTCATAACAAGAAGAAATCATCAAACTAAAACACAATCTGCCGAAGTGATACCAAGATCCATTTCAGTTCAAATGCAAAAATGACACTGTGCTAACTTCAAGGGCATGACCTCACTCTCCCAAGTCCCAACCCATCCAAGTTTCCATGTTGATGCTCTATAGAGTTATAGACCCTGTCCACCCTAACTTGCATCATGAAAATGGAAATGTTTTAAAAGGGAATAAAGATAACATGAACAATTTTATTTTATTTTATTTACCCAATACTCCAAGGGGGTTTAAGAAAGAATAACACGAGCTTCTAATTACTTTACAAACATAACAAACACAAACAAGGTAGAGAAAATGGGGATCATTAATACCCGTTTAGAATAAAAGGGATTTTAAGCGAGCACGCTAAGCAATCACGAGCAATGAGGTGAACACAAAGAAAAAAGGTTCGTTTTAAACCATAGCATAGGGTTACAGAGAAGGTGGAAAAACAGTGAGATATTGGAGGTGCGTGCAAAATCAGGGAAGAACCCAAGAACAAAGAGGTGTGACAGAGTGAAAATCTGTAAGCTTTAAAGCAAACAAAGTCACGGAGAGAAAGCGATCGATCTACGATTAAAATGCGGAAAATAAAAAATAAAAAATAAAAAGTTAAGAAGGGGAAAGAAGAAGAAACCTGAGTAGGGAATAGAGAGAGAGATGAAAAGTCAAAAGGAGAAACGCGGTTGGGAGATGAATTGAAGAAGACGAAGATCAGCAACTGAACTGAATCAAATTCAAAGCCTTCTTCCCTTTCTAAATCCGCACCGTTTCGCTGCCTTCTTCTCCAATCTTATGACAAAAAATAAGATATTAATTTTTATGGACTCTTTTTCCATACTCTCAAAATTATTTTAAATGGTATTTAGAAAATGGAATTGATAGCAATTAAATATTTTTAATAAAAATAGAAAATGGATTTAATAAAAATTGTATGATTGATCTCATCATTAATTTGCATATCATAAATTTTAAAATCAATAGGATAATAATCATTTTACAACAATTAAAATTTATTAATTTAGGTGCATTAATTTTCTTAAAAAAATCACGACATGTATTTTGTCTCCTTTTTCTTATAAAAATATTTTATAATCCATTATTAATTGGTTTCGATTTTTTTATATCTTTGTGTCTTTGATTAATTTTCAATTTTGATAATTATTTTTCAATAAATTTTAATTAATCAAAAGAGTGTGTTATTGCTAACATTTTTCTTGACAATACTACATTAAAAAGATTGATGATCAAATAAAAGAAATTATATTTTTTAATGTTCTAAAATTTTCTCCTTATGATATGTTGCATTGGAGTGGTGAAGAATATCTTCTATATTACATGCAAATATTAATGGTTTCTTTAACTAATTTAATGGTTTGATATGTAGTGCACAACAGAAGACAAACAAATAGTTTATTATATGACATATTATTAAAGTTAATTATTAATACACTGTTAGTGTAAAAAAAAATTATATTGACAACCAATCATTTTTTTTAATTATTTTATTTTGTTTTTATTTGATTAAATAAATAAATGACATAATATTATTAAAATATATAATTAATTGTTAGTATAAAATTTTTTTTACACTAATAATATATAAGTGATTAACTCATATTATTATTTAAGTAATACAAATGATTAAAAATAATTATGCATTTAACTAAGACCGATATAGATACATATCAAATGTTAGAAAAGATTATATTGTTCTCGTGGCAATAGTTAAAAAGTTATGATATTCTTCCTACTCCTTAACAAATCAGATCAAAGAGCCTAAGTATTGTATTGATCCATGAATGGTTATGGGGAAGTACTATGAAATTGACTACTTATTCTTATTTTTATATAAATATTAGTCATATTTGTTTTAATACTTTTTTGTTGGTACTCATACGTATGAGTTGTAATGTTATCGTAGCATACCACATGCCTTTTATTTATCAAATAAAATTGTTATAGTATATCACACTATTGTGTTTAACTAATAAAATTATTATTTGTCATTAAAAAAAATGAAGAAGATAGAAAGTTGGAAAATTGATGACTTTTCAAGAGTTTGGTTATAAAAAAAAAGTCAGCTTTGAAGCTGCAAGTATCTCTATTGCATAGATCAATACACATAACTGTTATAATTATGTCAAATTCGAATATAGAAAAATAATTGTATTAAATACTTGAACAAAAACTTTTGACACCCATAGTTTTATCAAAAATAAATATGTGAAGAGAGCTCAAACTTTTTTCCTTTTTCTTTGTTTTATTTATTATTTTAATTAATTTAGTTATTTTACTGCTTTTTTCCTTTCTATCTTACTTCTTTATACAAGATTTTATAATTATAACATAAAAAATGTAAGAGTTTATAATTGAGCGATACCATAAAAAAATTAATTGTTAATATACATACTATTTATATAAAAATTTATGATTGCATGAAAATATATAAAATAAAATAAAAATGACAGTGGATATATATTATTTATTTATTATTTAATTGTATTTTTTTTAAGAATTTGATTATTAAATTTGAAAAATGAAGAGAATTTAATTAAATTGTTCTATGTGTTAAAACATACCAGTTTGTACATGTCATCCTTGCAATTCACTCCCAGTAACAAAAAAGAATATTAAGAAAACAAATTATTTTAATTTAATAAAGTTCTAAAACAGGGTTTAGTTAATGTGAGTTGTAATAAGCATAAATAAATACATTACTAAAAATAGCTTAAATATATTTTTAATCCCTTAAATTTAAGATAATTTATTTTTGTTCTTTAAAATTAAAATTGTTATTTTTAATCTCTATAATTTTTAAAAATTTTATTTTAGTCCCTCAAATGGCCAATATCATATTAAAAAGAGATAAATTAAAATGATTATGTAATGTCAATTGAATTTAATGTGATATTTTTACTAACAAAGATACCAATAAATAAATTTTATGTAATAATATTTGATAAATTTCTAAACAAAATTTAGATATAAAAACTAAAATAATTTTTTTTAAATTACAAAACTTAAAAATAATAATTTTAAATTTGGAGATAAAAAATAAATTTATTATAAATTTAAGAATTTAAAAATATATTTAAGCCAGTAATAATAATAATAATAAATTTTTTATTTTTATCTTTTTAATTCCCTACCCAGAACCGGAATGATAAAATAAATAATATAAAGCTTGAGGCTTGAATATCAATGTCTGTACTTTCACTTCCCGTTGATGCAGAGAAGTGGCTTTGCTCGTCGAAGCAGGTAACCAAGGAAACCACCTTAACTATACAATACCTACAATATTTTTGTGCGTATTACTTGCTTCTTCTTCATGAATTTCTCAAAGACATAATCATTAATCGCTGCTTTTGAATGTGTTTTTCTTTGGTTTCTTGAACTGCAATTACTAGCTCAGTTCCTCAACTTTTATTTTCAGCTTTATCTCCATTATTCTTCGTGTATTCTTATATTTGATTATATGCTTCACAATTGGCTTGGGTGGCGTTGGACTATTTTTATGCACAGTATAAGGTTTTCTTATTCAAGCTAAAGGTCGTGGGAGGTATAATGTTTCTTGGGGAGTGATAAATCCCCTTGTATATTTTGACCACATCATGAGTGTGCCAAATTGTAGCTTCACAGTTATAACAAGCAAACATTTTTTTGTTATTTTCATCAGGGCCCTCTCAAACATTTTGGATGCGCTATATAAAAATTAGGCCCCTAAAAAGTTAAGCAAGGCTCAAACCATAGGGAAAGTGAGGAGTTAGAGAGTTTCATAGTAATGTGAGACACAGGAAGAAGACGTTTTCTTTCCAAAACTTATCCTCATTTTAGTCATATTACTAATCGATGTGAGATTTCTATAACTCTCTTCACCAAAGATCAGACATCTTGAGCGTAAAATTTGTATGATTGGAGTACTGGACATCTACTGATGATCAAATAGTGGGTAGTCCGATAGACCTAACAACACTAGTTAAAATAGACTCTAATAATATCATGCAAAAATAAGTTTTTAGCTTACTTCAATTCTACAAAACTGGATTATAAAGTGATGATTGTCCTTATAGATAGCCCTGTATCTCATCATGATTTGTGGGCATTGGTGATTTTAGTTAAAGGTTTCTAGTCACATTATCTCTTTTAGTATTGCCTTGAGGAGAATAAAAACTACTTAACAGATCCCTTGTTATGAATTTAGTCTGCTGCTTGTTCTGTGCTGCTTGGAGTTGTAACAGACATTGATGTTGTTTTTGCTATAATTTTTATATTGATTTTCCTGCAGTGCTTATTAACTTCCTGATATGTTAAAAATTTAGATGGCATGGGGTTTTAAGATCCTCTATCACAATTCGTACAACATTTTTATTTATAATTTAATCTTCGGAAATTCATTTCAAAGTGTGAAGTACTTTCATTTTTCAATAAACCATTTGAGTAATGTAATTACTTCCATTGTACTTGCCAATTTAGGAATGAGTCGTTTGCAAGGATCTTTGTAACAAGTCCCACATCGGGGAGGTCTCCTTACCAGGGAGGCCTTATAAGGCGGGAGGTTCTCCAACCTCTTGGGCCGGCTTTTGAGGGATGGTTCCCCTCCTTAGCCTTATGCTCGTTACAATGGTGCTTTCGTTGAGAGCCAGCCAAATCGAGAAGGGCTACCCACGGAGGGTTCTGACCACCGGAGGGTTCTGACCGGCAAGGGCCGAGTGAAGTACCGGTGAGTAAAGTACCGTGGAGTGCAGCCATCGAGGACGCTGGCTTTCGAAGGGGGTGGTAATGTAACAAGTCCCACATCGGGGAGGTCTCCTTACCAGGGAGGCCTTATAAGGCGGGAGGTTCTCCAACCTCTTGGGCCGGCTTTTGAGGGATGGTTCCCCTCCTTAGCCTTATGCTCGTTACAATCTTCTACACTTAAACGGAAGCGACAAGACTTGGCTTCAGTGTCCGAGTCTTTGACCGATGGTGAACGTGTATTGTATAATCTCATACATAACAAGAAAGACATGGGAATCTGGACAGGAGATATGAAACGAGAAACAAACCTGCCTGACAGCATAGTAAAAAAATCTCTCAAGTTGCTTCAGTCCAAGAATCTGATAAAGGAGGTTGTTAACATTCAAAACAAAGGGAGAAAGCACTACATGGCAGCAGAGTTTGAACCTTCTAAGGAAATCACCGGTGGTGATTGGTACACTCAAGGGAGCCTTGATACTGAATTCATAAACCTTGTAAAGGACGTGTGCTTGAAATACATTTTCAGGCAGAAAGTTGCCACACGTGATGGGGTTTTGGAATGGAGCAGAAAGAGCGGTGTCTTCACTGTTGAAGTCACAACACAGCAAATAGATGAGATTTTGCGTGCTTTGGTTTTGGATGATGAGATTCTAGAGGTGAAGAGCACTGGATTTGGGGACTTTTCATCTGTTCCTGTAGGCAGAATTTGTTACAGATGCAAAAGCAAAAGTGGCAATAGAGGGGAACAGAAGCCTGGTGCCATGGCCTCCATTCCATGTGGAGTTTGTCCACGAATAAACTCTTGTACACCAGATGGCATTATATCCCCAAGAACTTGTGTCTATTTTCAGAAATGGTTGGACTTCTAAAGGATTCAAAAACCAATTCATAGGTTAGATATGACCCTCCAAGTTTTCAGTCTCATCTTGCAGCTGTTGTGTTTGATTGTAAAATTTTGTATCAAATTAAAGCTCCTGTATTAAAATTGAAGCCATCAGTGTGAGTTAAAAAATTCTGCATTAGGAATGCATTGGTTAGTAATCCTGGTTGGTGGTCATCCTCATTAGAATAACCTGTCTTTACTAGCTATTCATTCTGTTCATCAAATAGATTAAAGATGTATGCTGTACCAGTAGTTTTTGTTGCTTTAGAGTCTGCTGTAGTACTTGTACATAATCTTTTGTTGAACTTGTTCCGGTTGCCATGAGAGGCATAATGTTACTGCTTATTCTTTGTAGTACCTTGGTTCCGATCATCAGGGTTATAATGTGAGATATACTTTATGCTTACATATTGTTGCCCGAGTAATCTCTCTTGATAAATAACAGTGAATCACACTCTGTAAGGCTTCTTAATTGCAGGCTTTGTTAACAAAAATAGACAAAAGACAAGCAAGCAGGGATAGGTATAATGTCTCCGTTGAAGCAAGAGGACATTACAAGTAGTAAAGATACAAGCAGGGATAGGCTTTTACAGAACTTTCAGGACCAAAATTTAAAAATTGAAATTGCTAGTTACATGTTTTTATTGGGGGGTTTAACATTAGCTACATGCTTAGAAGCAATATTTATCTAACACTGTATTTTAGGCATGTTAGTTACGCCGAGAAAAGGGTGTGTTCGTTTTGTCCACTATAAATATTTTATTCATCTTTCTGTTAAAAAAAATTTCGACAAGGATCCATTTTTTTCATTAACAGCTGTTGTAGAAGAAAACATATATTATGTTTGTTGTTTACCTGTTAAAGAGTTCCTTTTTCCCAAGTCTAATTTCAAGTTCAAATTTTGTGAATAGGAAAAGCAAACTTAAGTTTTCCAACCACTGAGTGGGTTCTCCCTGCTTGACCGAAATAGTCAGGACCCAAAAAAATGTAAAGAATAATTATAATCCATTGTTAAACCACTAATTAAAAATGAAGTTTATATACTAGTAGTTAATTGACATACCTTAAGATACAGTCCTTTCCCTTCTCTTTTCTTTTTTAAATACCTTTGGATATTGAACAGTTTGGTGCTTTCTATTTTTAGCTAGATGGATCCATTCCAATCGTTCTTAGGCTTCTACCTAGTAGTGTTTCTAACAGACAATTTCACAAGCAAATAGAAACAAAAGTACCTGGTCTTCAGCCCAAAAGCCTCTCAGATAAATGGTGCATGTCATTACATGTGTCACCCAGATGATTAATTGAGCCACTATATATATATATGCCCCCCACAATCATGAATTACATTTCATATTAAGTACTACTTGTCAAATAACCTGTTTTTTCAAGACCAAAACAGGGGAACCAAAAATGAATCAATCCCAATCCCAGAATATGAGCCATCAAGCTGGCCAAGCCGCGGGACAAGCTCAGGTTAGTTTTACCACTGATACAAATAAGACATGTATGCAATATATTCATGACCTTGTAATTTTTGCACATCATTCTCAATTATAGACTATAGTGGCATTATAGCTAGAATAATGTTATTAATTGTTGATTTAGGAAAAGGCAAGCAGCATGATGGACAGTGCAAGGAATGCTGCTCAATCTGGCAAAGAATCCTGCCAAGAGGTTAGACCATTTATTTGAACAATTTAACTATGTTGACTTAAAGTATGTTTGGAAAATACGCAAAAGTTAGATTATTTTTATAATCAATTATAAACATCATATTTTCTAATACATCAATACAACTTATTGTTTTTTTAAAATTAAAAAAAAAACTGTTTATATACAAAATTCAGCTGTTATCTGAAAAATACAATTTTTTTACAAACAACTTCTTTTCACTAAAAAAAATCTGAAATGATGGAACTAATAGAACATCCAAACATGCTCTTAGAATGAACAGAAGAAGCTAAAAATTATGAAGAATTTTGGTGAGTGATGAAAGTGTTTTGGTGTTGTAGGCTGGGCAGCAAATGCAGGAAAAGGCACGAGGGGCTGCTGATTCTGCCAAGAGCGCAATTGGGGCTCAGAAATGAATATATTGGAGAGCTCTCTAAGTGGCATTCAATATTCATGTTTTTCAATATTTGGTTTTTGGGCTTATGCATTTATTTGCTTTAAGCAGTTTTTGGACTAATATGACTGGTTGTGGACCAGCCAGTTGAAGGCCTTGTTTGTTAGTAGCATATTATAGACAATCAAATTTCACAATTTTCAATTAAAAATACACGTTTCATTGCAACTTCTTTTAATTTGTTCTATTTAACTCCATGTTTAGATACACGTCTCAACCAATTTCTTCGGTACATGTTTGATTCTCCATCACGTCAAGTTTGATGCACATCACACAGAAGTTAATGGGTGTAGCTTCCACGTGTTAAACGCGGTTTTTTCGGATTAATGCGAGGAGAAAACGTGTTTTGAAATATGCAATTTTTTTAGCTTTCACGTTATTCAGTGATGGGACTTGAACAAATTACTATATGTGCGTTTTTAACGGATCAACAAACACGCACTAACTCTACCCCAACGCTGTTAAGAAGAGATTACATATTTTATCCCAAATATATGTCAGAAATTATTCATTCCTAAAGTGTTGGGTTCTAAGAAGTTTAAATGGTAACATATGTGATGAATAGCACATGGATTGGACCTGCAGTGACAACAACATACATCATCCCCAAAGAAAAATCATCTGATATAATAATGTTCTAGGTAGTGTTTGTTTCCGGGAGAGTACTGTTCACAAGCAATGTGATGGAAGAATTTAAATTTGTTTATTTCAAAACATCTATTTGTGATGGAGTGTAGACTGTGTAGTCTTTGTTTCAGGCTTCGTCAGCCACCAGATTTCGAAACATATCTTTAATATTAAAGCTACATGATATTATATGGATTAACAATGCAAAGAAAACTTTTTTCTTTGACTCGAGGATCTAACAAGTACCTACATTTTATTGGTTAATAATGGCGGTATGTCTCGCTTTTGACATTATAAAATATTTTTTGCCCTTTTAAACCAAAAATATGTCCTTTTAATTTTCCTTTGGTAGGATTGTTTAGAGTAACTTTCTTTTTGGCAGAATAGTTAAGAGTAATTCAAACACGTAATTCAATTTTGTTTGATTACTTAAAATTAACTTTGTCAAGAATAGATTCTAGATAATAATAATGTCAATTGATATAATTTACAACTCAAACAAAAACAAAATGATTGAGAAATAAAAGGTAAACAGTGTTTATAATGAGAGTGTGATAAGATTTTGCATTATGGCTTAGTAATAAATCGTGTAATAATTATTTTTAAAATTATATAAAGAATAATCTTAAAAAGTTAGTTGAGTAAAGAAAGATAAGGTCGTACATTATGTCCTCGTTAATCTCTTTAGTATATGATACATATAAGTACTTTCTTGAAATTTTTCTATATAAAAAAAATTATGCTAATATTGGTTGATTTAGTAAATTTTTACATTTTTATATATTTAGGAATGATAAATGTCATTTATTTATCATTCATCTCATCAATTCATTAGTAAATTCATTTATTATAATAAAAATAAATAATATATTAAATTAAAATTACAATATATTATCTTCTAACCACAAACTACTATATAATAATTCTTATTTTATAACAAATAACTACAAAAATCATATTAAAACGTATAAATATTGAACTCTTAAAATTAAATTAAAAAAATTATGTGAACAGAGAGTCCATGATGTGTGGTGGCACGTGAGGATGGGTTGAAAAAGTGGGGTTGGGTGTGTATTTGTGGGACCTTCTAAAAATGGATGTTAGAGAAATTCGTGAATTAATGTGTTTAGCTTTGTGGTTTAAAATTCTAATAATGTCTATAAAATTATGGTAAGCTTATTGCAAAAATAATTATTTATTATTTTCAAAAACTATAAACTCGCGATGAAATGCAAACATACAAAAGATTTAGCCATATAAAATTGGATAGAGATGTTGAGCACTATGGCATTGGGGATTGGGTTGAAATCATGAATCTAATGTGTGGCTTAGGTGGGTCAGAAACCTAACAAGAGATTTTGTGAGAGTTGGTAAGGAGTGATTATGATGTTATTTAATTTGTTGCTGATTTGGCTTTATAAAGCATGGTCGTATACTTGGAGTAGGAGAGATATTTTTGGTACATCTAATTAAATGCACCTGTGCAATCAATTAATATGACTCAATTGAAAGCAACTTCTTACGTACATGGATTTATACAATTCAGGAAAATAAATCATTTCTCCCAACAATTTAAATATGTTAATGCAACTTTCATTTTATAATTACGTGTAGATATTTATTTAATAGGTGGACTAATATTTAATTCCATTTTATTATAAAAATTAAGATAAGTTTGTTTTTATGAACTTAATACACATGTGTAGAATATAGACATTAAAGTAAGTCATGATTATTTGTGTCTTAAAATTGAGTTAGAACAAACTAAAAATTAATTCATTTAAAATTATATTATAATATTTCAATTATGTAACTCATGACTCACACTCACTCGTATTTAAATTAAGGTGACCAAGAAATCACTTTATTTTTCCCTTTCACCTCCCTTATTTATTATGCATTAGCACAAAAATAGTAGGTTTTGTTTTTTTTCCAAAATCCAACACCTCTATTTCTTCTTCTGCAGTCTCTCATTAGCATCTTGCCCCATTATTCCTATGCACACTTACTAGACAAGTCCACTGAATAATAATTCAATATTTTTCTCATTCTTAAAGCTGCAATTTTTTTCCCACCATGTACAGTTTCACCAAGACTTCTTTATAATCACCATCAAAGTCATATAAAAAGACACTTATAATGCTGTAACCCTATAACAATTGTTTTGTAAAAGGCTATCAAACAAGTAACTATCTTTCTCTTTCATGTCCCTTTCTCTTGCCATTATATTATTTTAATGTGATAAACCTACTCAAGTAGACTATCTCGAGTTAATTCATTTTGTTTTCCATCTTCAAATCCAAACAAAGCCCTAATGTTGTGCACTGTTGACAGATAAATATGTCTCGCGTAGGTAAAGTTTGTGCGTATGGAAGAATGAGAATGAATTCTCTCTACGGACATTGGACAATATCATAGATAGGACATAAGACAATACCATAGATAACCACTTCTTTTCATTTTGTCCCACAGCCATTTTTTAAAACAAACATTAAATGAATTATATATACTCCATTATTCCTCCTTAAAAAATATGCGATTGGAAAAATTCATTTCAACGTTAAATTTTAATCTTCTCCTACATCCGTGTCAATAATTTGGTGGAACTATGAACATTTTTCCCTTTTGCTCCCCCATTTGTCATGTCAATATATCCGTAATATAATAATGGAACATGAATATCAAAGTTGCATTTTATGCTTTAAAAAAAAATACATCATAAAGGCACGTGCAAGGTGGAGTGTTTGGCAAGGGGGAGATTATCAAGAAATTTAAGTTGAAAATATAAATTCTCAGGTATGATTTTTTATGAATAAAAAAAATATTTCTTGGAAAGCTAACATTTTTAAGAATGTTTTCTTAACTACGTAAATAGTATAACGAATTGAGTGGTACAATTTAATTTAAAGACCTAATGTCGATTGTATCTATATTAAAAAATATATTTTAAAATTATTCTGCATCATGTCCAATATTATGAGAATATGTCACAACAGTGTGCTAGAGCATCTTCCAACTATATCTTCACTTCCATTTATTGCTTTTGTACATACAAGTGTAATGAAATATGCAAGAGTACTAGGACGAATTGTTACAAAATACAAATATAATTTTGTGTAAAATAATTATGCAGAAAATATTTGAACACTAACTTGTATATTCACTGATTTTTGAATATTTTTGGATATATCAATTCCTTCTTTCACTAGTCTTATTACCTTTGACAAATGTTCTCAAATTGACATCTTTATAGTCTCCAATCACATATGTATATGATACCATACTCCATATATTTAAATGAATATAGAGAAGTTGGTTTGATGATAGATACTCTAGTGACCAAGATTATATTAAACTAATAAATTTTAGAAAGTTAATATAGTTGTTCGTCTGACTAAGAGACAATACTCTAACATGTTTAAAATATTATGGAAAGAGTTCATTCTTATAAATTTTAAATAACTTTTCTCCATCATTTTACATAACTTCTCACTTTGTTTGTCCCTCTAAATTTGTATATGTTATATATATATATATATATATATATACGAGGAAGGTTCAAACGACATTGGTGTAAGTTACACCGTTCAATAATTTTATATTAAATGTGAATTCTGAAAATCCAACCGTTAGATTGAAATTTTATATCTCTTAGATTATATATGTCAAATTTTGTTAAAATTGAACAACAACTTGAAGATAATTAAAATGTTCATATTTTAATATATTTTGAAATGTATATATTACGTCAATTTTATTTAATGAGAATGAAGTATCAAATTATCTTAGATTAATATAAAATTTGATATATATAATCTAAGATATATGAACTTTCAATCTAACGGTTGGATTTTCAAAATTCACATTTAATATAAAGTTATTGAACGGTGTAACACTTAGTAAAAGTTACATCGATGTCGTTTGAACCCTCCTCTCTCTCTCTCTCTCTCTCTCTATATATATATATATATATATATATATATATATAATTTGAAATATCATATCAAAATTGAATTTAACACTTATCATCTCTTAGAAATAAGATATATAAAATTAATTGTAATATTGAATAACTTATAATTTATAGAAATATGAGATGACGTTATACCCAATATTAATTCAAATTTTATGAATTATAAATAAACATATGAATATTTATGTCAGGTAGACAAACATTTTTTTAATATTTTGTTTGGAATACAATGAAAAAGATTTATTAAGAGAATGAATAAAGTTCTTTCTCTTCCAATGAAAAATCAAAGTTCTCCAGCCCTTTCAGTGTTACGTTAACGCAATTTTATATTATTCTTTCTCGTCCTATGTTTATATTTATCGATAATTTTTTTGACTTCTGATGTTTTGTGGTTTTACTTTATCTCATCATCTGCAGATACATTGAGAGACCACAAAAGACATGAATAGGAGATTTCATAATATAATAAACTCACTTTTTTTTTATATTTTAATTAAAACTGTAAACTTTAAAGATATTAAAGAAGAAAAAAAAAGTTTTAATATACCCTTGCTTTTTCTTTTTTTTTTTTACACCCCTTGCTTTTTTTTTTAAGAAGTATATTATAAAAAATTTAATATAATTTCTAAACATTGTCATAGTATATATATTTATAATATATTTTCAATTCAAACAAAATCATCCTATTATTTAATACAAATGAAAATATATGTTGTAGGATATAAGAGATCAAGAAAAATCCTTTAAATTCTATCATTAAAGGAAAAAACAGATTATTTGCAGTTAGCTTTTAATTAATCAAGAAAATATTTTTTTGAGACGCAAAGAAACAAAAGAAAATTCAGAAGTGAAATTGAATCTTAATTGGAAATAAAAGATTCTGAAATTCGGCAAAAATAAATTAGGCTATGGAGAAATAAGTTAAATTACCAGAAAACTCAGGAGAAAATGGAAACATACTAATTGAAGAGAAATTACTAGAACCAGATGGGTGAATTCAAAGTGCAAAAAAGACAAAAAGACAATTCAAGAAAAATAAATGTTGGTTGATTGAGAAAAGTTGCAAACATAAAATCCTATATATCCCTCAACTAAATTTATATTTCCAAATGAAGGTTATTAAGAAAGTTGACATGACATTATTTATAAACATGTGTTGACTCGAAGTTTTTATTTTCCTTCTATTTGTTAAGAATAACACGAAAAACATCATATATATATATATATAGGAGGGTTCAAACGATATCGGTGTAACTTTTATTAAGTGTTACACTGCTCAATAATTTTATATTAAATGTGAATTTTGAAAATTCAACCGTTAGATTGAAAGTTTATATCTCTTAGATCATATAGATCAAATTTTATATTAATCCAAAATGATTTGATACTTCATTCTCATAAAAAAAAATGACGTAATATATATATTTCAAAATATATTAAAATATGAACACTTTGATTACCTTCAAATTTAACAAATTTTGATATACACATATAAAGAAATATGAACTTTCAATCTAACGGTTGGATTTTCAAAATTCGCATTTAATTAAAAGTTATTGAGTGGTGTAACACTTGGTAAAAGTTACACCGGTGTCGTTTGAACCCTCCTCTCTCTCTCTCTCCCTCTCT